ACACTCCTCCTTTCATTGGGCCACGTTATTTTAGTTCAGCAAGAGGTTGCACTTCAGAGCTTAAACAACCTTATGTGGCTCAATGAAAGGGGGAGTGTTGGCCGGAGAGTGCTTAGGCGAGTGCCCCTAGCACTGCTCAGAAGTTAAGTTACGTGACATTTGTAAGTAATAATGGGATTTGACTCCAAAAATTGTTATGTCAGAAGTTCACAAGAGTAAGTTTAGACAACTTTCTTATTGAAGCTGGAATGGAACATTTCAAGTTGTAGCTAAAGAGAACTAAAGAACGTAATGACTTTAGATCTCCTATTGACTTGGGAAATTCCCTTCCCCCACAATCCTCGTGGTTTAATTCCAATTTTTGGATAGGACTGGACCTCGGAAAATCAACACTTGAGTTCTGGGCTTCCTGCACCTAAACGGAGCACCTTGAGGTTTGGAAAGACGAAAATACCACTTGGAAAGTTTCCTCTGAACTCATAAAAATGCAGATCAAGAGTGGTCAAAGAAGAAGAAAGATTCATGAACAAGCAAGGATTAACAGTTGCCATATTTATTCCTTGAAGAACAAGTTTGTTATGAAAAAAGCATCATGGACACTCTTTACAAAATGCCATGCAGCCGACTCATCTTCAGTGTCATCGTTGAAGAACTCGTAATCATTAAGTCAAGAATTGGGATTGAAGTCCAAGCAAATTTCCACCTTTTGACAAGATACTTGTGCAAACTGCTTCCTTAGTCGAAAGAACAGATAGAATGTGAGTGAGAAGAGCATCAGGTAATGCACTGACCCCATCAGCAAGTCTCCACCTTTTTGACAAGATACTGGTCCTAACGGCTTCTTTAGTTGAAAGAAAAGATCGAATGTGATTGAGAAGTTCATCAGGTAATGCACTGATCCTATCACCAATTTTTTGATGTGATTGAGAAATCCTTTGAGTTGGTCATTGGAATGGGAGCGAAGGACCTAAAGGTAGACGAAGGATGGCTTTGACTCTTTAGGCTTCTTCTCTCGCAGCTGTGGTTTATTTCACATGGCAGGAAAAAAAGGGAAGAGTTTTAAAAAATGAGTAAAGTTACAATTCTGCACCTAGTTTCAGTTGGTCTCTTAGCTACTTAGTTGAGTTACATTAATGCTTTGTCATTAATTTTCTGTAAACCTGAAAATGTACGGGTAAAAGCATCATGTATAGCCCCATATGGAGAATTTTGTATTAATGGAGTAAGCTTACCATTCTCTTAGAAAAGTGTTTTAGGACTCATCCACTGGTCCATTTAAATAACCAAACAAGAAAGGAAGTCATAGAATACACAAATCAAACCAACTTGAAAAAGAGTGATGATGTGAATATTGTGCTAAGCACACAGAAAGAAGTCTACCGGGCAGATCATGCTAGAGGACAGGTTCAAATGCAAAAAATTAGTTTAAATATAAAACAACATTCAAGAATGCAAAAGCTGCCATTGGCAATTAGGTCTTTAAAATTGAAGAAGCTATGAGATCCATGAAAAGTGAACAAGTTAAGTCTAACAAATTAGAGGAAGAAACTCAAATGGATAAATAGCGAAAACAAGGAGTATAAAATCATTGAACCAGACAAGTGAGGAAGCTGTTGGTTCATTGACATCTTCACACCAAATGTCATAAATCTAACACCCAATCCCCTCAGCAGCCCTCCTCCATCCGTGGATTGCAATCAATATTCAAATTAAGTGATCGAAATCAAAATTGTCATAAAGTAGTCAGTGGTACTGGAAACTGTATTATTTGTCCATCTATGATATACCCCCAATAACTTTGAAAATATCCATTTTCTTCCAAAAAGTATCAATTCCCTAAACACCAAAAAATTGAAGGCAAAGCAAGAATCCAAAAACCAATAACTAAGTTTGACAAAATCCTTACCTCTACAAACATAAATCAAAGAACCTAAGGGTAGCAGCAAAGAGAGCAAAGGCTCAGACTTGAAACAGAGGACGAGGACTCCATAAATTTTTTTTTCAAACAAAGAAATTGCATTTTCCACACATAATTAAACAACACCCAATTGTCAAGAACTAAAACCCATAAATAAAAATATCAAAAGAAAGTTCCTTAATATCAAAAGAAAGTTCCTTACTATCAGTTACCGGAAAGACGGTCTGCGGCGGTCAATGAGCTGCAGTCGTCCTAGAAGCGAACCCTGTACAAGAAGAAGAATGCAACTCTCTAATCGGTACAGTCCTCGTCTGAAAGCGCTTTGTCCAGCTTAACGAATTGAAGGTCTGAGGGCGTAGCAAGTAATTCCGTTGAAAGCCGGTCCAAGACTACACTGGCGGAGATGTAGCCGGCGGGAAGAAGCTGAACGTTGGGGACTTTGGGTTGGGCTTTTTGTTTTTTGGGCCAAAGGGTTAGGTTTGTATGAACGGTTTTCGGTTTCTTATTTTGAGCCGTCAATGTTTATTTATTTTATTTAATTTTTGGTGGGAGCCATCAATGTAAAATTAATTTTATAAATTGCAGCATTTTTACAGTTTTGAGGAAAAAATATTATGTAATTCGAACTATATTAGATTATGATAATTGAGGTCTTTTTTATTTAATGATTATTGTTTTATTTTATAATTTAATATAATTTAATCTAATTTTTTTTAGACCATCTTTTATACTACTATGATTGAACAACTTTTTTCCAAAGAAAAAATTCAAATTTTTTAATTCATTTTCTTTTATTAAGACTTGGTTGTAAAAATAAATATAAGAGAAAAATTCTTTTAAACTAGATATATCAAAAATCTTTAATTATCTTTTTAAGAGTTATTTTCTCAAATTGTTTTCTATACTTAATTACATATGTTAACATGTGGATTAAAATATGATTTGATAAAATCATACAGTAAATTCAATAAATGACACTTGTTTTAAATCCATGCGAGTTCTATTTTTTTGTTTGGGGTAATAAGACCTCTATCTCTAGCTTTAGGATATCTGTTGCTTTTCAAATTTCAGTCCCCCAACAACCACAGATCCAATCTAATATCTCAACTTTCATCTTTCATGCCACTTCCATCCAAAAGCTTCAAGACAAAACAGAACATGTACAGAGAGAAAGAGGGGCTTGGCTTTGGTTGATTCTTCTTTTCTCTCCTATCCATAAAAGGGTTTTCTTTGATAAAAACATCAGAGTCCGAATTGTGTTCAGAGT